AAGGTTTAAAACCCCCTTCCCGTTTTTTTTTTAAAAAAAAAAAAAAAAAAAAAAAAAAGAATTGTGTTAGGTTGCATGTAACTAAAACCCAACCGTAGTGGATTGAATTATGTCCCCCCAAACTCATTGAAGCTTGAATTGTGTCCCCCAAGTTTAATATACTAGAAAGTTGGCCCCCATTGTGACTGTTACGAGGGTGGGAAATCCTATTATGGTAATCGAAAGGTGGAGCCTTGAAGAGGTGATTGGATTGTAGGACCATGCAGTAGTGAGTGTATTAAAAATGGTGGTTAGGGGTAAATGGACTAATGCACCAACTATAGGAGTTCAATCAAATAGCTCCTTCTTTTTTCTAATTTAACAATAAATCCAGGGGCTGGCCTGTGGCTCACTCGGGAGAGTGTGGTGCTGATTACACCAAGGCCACAGGTTCGGATCCCATATAGGGGTGGCTGGTTGCTCACTGGGTGAGCGTGGTGCTGACAACACCAAGTCAAGGGTTAAGATCCCCTTACCGTTCATCTTTAAAAAAATAATAATAATAAATCCAGAGGTAATAACTCCAGGGCTGCTGTTCCTACAGTTTTCCTGTTCTGTTCTCCTTTACAGAAAGGAGAGTTTTCATCTTCAGGGTCTCAAGATGGCTACTGCATATCCAGGCATCACATTCCCATTCTAGATGGAAAAAGGGAGAAGAGCAAAAGATAAAGGCAGATTTCATCCAAGTCTACTTCTTTTGAAATGCTTTCCAAGAGTTTCCACCCAGTAATTTCTGCTTACTTTTAGCTGACCCGAATTGGTTTAAATGGCCACTCCTAGCTACAAGCATTATGGGGAGGTCTTTTACCTAGGCATTCTACTGTCCCAAACAAAATGTTTAATTACAGAAAAGAAGAATGGGTTTCAGATAGGCAAGTAACATGCCTGCCACAAGTAACTTTCCCCCAGAAATAGTAAATGCTTCAGATGTTCTTACCCGATAGTTATGGAGCACTTTCTCTAATCCTGACTACTCGGTTTCTTGCATGGTAGCTTGCTCAAGCAAATATTAGTATCATTAGGCTTTATGCTAGTGATTTGGACAGAAGTTCTGAGTGCTGTACTGAATTCTCTGCAAATAGTCTACTTATTCTCAGACTTGAAAAGTTTGTAGAACAGCCTCTAGCCTAGAAGAGCAGCAGAGAAGTGATGGGATCCATCACTTTTTTATATAATAACTAATGATATCTATAGAGGGCATCTCAGATGTCAGTTACTATTCTAAGTGTTTGAAATATATTAACGTCATTTGACCCTCACAACATTACACTTTTACTTATGGGGGGAAGTGTATGGAGAGATGTCTGAGGTCACATAGCTGGCAAGAGGGAGAGTCAGAATTTGAACCCAGGCTGACCAGCTCCAGTGCCTGTCAGCCAAAACAGGATGCCACACTTCCCTGGTAACTGCAGACCTGGAGACTCTGCCCTTCCTGAGCTGGAAACCATGCTGTCAATACAGGCGAGCCATCAGGGCTTGGAGCAGCCTCTTCTCTGAAGGACAAGCTATGAAAATAAAAAATTGAAGCAAACAGCAAAATAAAAAACTTTTTCACTTTCTATCAAAGTGTTTGTAGTTGAGTGCCAAAGTTGTTTCCACAGCTAGCCTTCCATTGCTTGCCCCCAGAATATATCAGAGGCAAGCACAGGCAGTTAAGAGAGTGGAAGTGAATGCTTCGTCCTTCACTGTGAAATCGCTCAGATATTACCTAACATCTGTGCCAGTCTGCTTCCCGCCTCTGGGTCATGGCCATACGGTAGCCTCCACTTGCAGCGTCTCCCCGGCTACCTTTGCTTTGTGGGCTCCTGTTCGTTCCTCATGTTTCAGCATCTCAAAAACATTTTCCTCAAATCGCCAAGAAATGGGCTTTCTCTATTTTCTTTCTTGGCACTCAGTTGTTTCGTCCTGTATGCTTAGCACAGTTTGTAATTATTTTTCACTGTTCACTCAGTTTGTGTCTCTCTGCCTCATTAGACTAATTTCCCTGGGAGCAAGGACCACAGCTTGTTCATCATCGGATTCCCAGTGCTGAGCCAGGGCCTTCCACGTAGTATGTGTTCAACAAATAAAAAGAAATATGAATTGAATGAATAAAGAAGTGAACTCTGGCCTCAGAGGCATGCTGCCGCAGAAACCAATATTTCCAGTGTCTGCTGTGAGCAGTTCTGTTAAAGCCATGTACAAAATGTCAGGCCTTGAAGATGGGGCCTCTGGACAGGCTTTGTGTAGAATGTGTCCCCGATTTAAAAAACTTTTATTATGGTAAAATATACACAATATAAAATTTAGCACCTTAATCATTTTTAGGTGTACAATACAGTGGCATTAATTACATTCACAGTGTTGTGGGGTTTTTGGGGGGTTTTTTTGGCAGCTGATGGGTATGGGGATCTGAACCCTTGACCTTGCCGTTATAACACCACTCTCTAACCAACTGAACTAACTGGCCAGCCTAAAATGTGTCTTTTAAGAAGAGTTCTAAAGACTAGGAGTCTGAGGTAGGCACGCACACGTCCTATGAATCAGGCATCCCCTCTGCCTCCTTATAGCCCTGGGCTCTAGCCTCATCCACCCGGGCCACTCTTAGACCACAGGCCACTCTTAGAGCAGTCTTCCCCTTGAAGCCCAGTGTGATAAAGGGTGAGGGCTCCAGCCCAGTCTGGAAACCCATGAAACCTATATGCCTAGGAAACATCTCTGGCCCTTGCCTATGTCTGATCCAAAAGGTTCTGTCCCAGAACCCTGCAAACCACTGAAAGTGCTAGCATTTTAGCTTCCAAACTAATTGTCTCAGATGGCTTCATTCACCCAGAAGTGGCACCAAAATCCTTTATCTGGATGAGGGGCACCAGTTTTGTCATCAGGTGCCCTTCATCCAGATAAAGAATCATCTCTCAGCTTTCTTTGTTCACATTTTAAGGAACTTTCCAGAACTCCAGGCCTTTAAGGGATGGCTTTTGGAAGGCTGGACTTAATCAACCTTGCATCTCTTACACAAATATTACCATTTTGAGAGAAAACCCCCTTTTCCCTGGCTTTGGCTGAGACTCCTACAATTGGTCCCAGACCAGGTGCTGGGGCTTTGGCCTCACACTCTTCTGTTCTAGGCTCACTCCTGCCAGCATGGAGTCCATGAAGCCCAGCCCTCCCAGACCAAGTAGGCAGCAAGACTGTTCAACTGAGGGGACCATACAGGAGCCCAAATCTGAGGCTGGAGGTAGGGAAGTGGGAGGGAGGGGACTGAATGCCCCAGGGGTTAGGATATCTGCAAAGTTGAAAACTGAGTCCAGAGAGCAGCAACCCCTGAGGGCAGGGAAGGTAGCAACGTCCCAAGATCATTATAGTAACCCAGGATGGGAGGCCCAGGGGCAGGAGGACCTTCTGTTCAATACCTGCTGTGAATGTAGGCGGGTACCCCAATTTATATCATTAATGTAGAGCATGTTTGTGTGCATGAATGTCTGGTTTTCTTTTCCTTACTGCTGCCTTTTTCTTCCTTCACTTCTCCAGTTCATATGTCATTGTCACCTCTTGCTTACTGCATACTTCATGTCACCCTTCCCTACGCCTGCTCTCGTCTGTCTGGGTCAAGCATGACTCCC